GGGGGGTCCTCAGCTTTGAATGCACCTGCCTGGAAATCTGCTTTCTGTTTAGACATGATGCACCGCTCTCCCTGTTGGACTAATACTTTGTGGGGGGTGGCTGACACACGGAAGTTTGGCACTTGGGCTACGTGGCAGAGCGAGGCGGCTGTGCATTTCTCTCACAGCTGCCCCGCGGACACCCTGTGCCCCCCACGCTGACCTGCTGTCTTAAGTGCGGTGGAAGAGGGCGGCCCACCCCGAGCTGAAGGAGGGCCGGGGGACTCGGTGGCCGTGTTGTGCCAGAGCAATTTCCGCCCACGAGCGGATGCCGTTCAAGCGAAGGTCTCAGGAGGGGGCGGGGGGCACAGATCAGGGATGCACGAGACGCGTCTCAGCCTATTTCAAGCTCAAGGCCTTTCCTGCCAGGAATCCCGTCCCAGGCGAGGCATTTCAGCTTTCAGAATGTGAGCAAATGAGCTCAAAGGGGGGGGGGGGGTCGGCCACGTGCTGGGAGAGGGCAGCAGAAGTCAGCTGGGGATGCTGGGAAGAGGCACGGCCCCCTGGGACAACCCCTTTTCCGGGAATCCCGTGCCCGCCTTCAGCCATGCCTCTCGCGGCGGTTTCTCCAGCCGAGGGCAGGCCTCTGCGGGGTCCCGCAGCTGGGCCTCCCTCCGCCCCAAAGCCCCGCATCTCCTGGCCGGGCTGAGGAAAACCCTTCGTGCTCGGCTACTCACCCGTATCCTGCCAGGAAGCCCAGGCTCGGGGGGCTGACCTTGTCGCTGAAGATGACGATGGGCAGGAAGTGGCAGTCCCGCTTGCAGTCCGCCAGCCGGATCACCCACCACTCGAGGAAGCCGGCGCCGCCGGTCCCGGGCCCCAGCCGCTGCTGCTTCAGCTGCACCTCAACGTCCAGGTAGCTGTCCTCGTCGTCTGGCGCCGCGGGCGAGGGAGAGAGATGCGAGTGAGGGGCCGCGGCACCCCCCCACGGCGGCGCTATTCAGCATGCCCGGGTGTGCACTGGCGATCTTTTAAAACGCACACTGCTGGTTTTATATGCTGCCAAGGTTGCTGAAGGTCCTGCCCATCACCAGACGTATTTAAACCAAAACATTGGATTGCGGCAGCGAGAGAGACATCAGGACAGACTCTTTAATGTGGTTTCAGACTGAAGCACTTTCCCAAGGAAAGCCAGAACCCAAACCTCAAGCTGCAACTCCGAAACGGACCACTTTGACCCGCGCTGCACCCTTCGTAGGCGCCTTGTTTTAGGAAGGACGGCAATCCTGAAAGCGGAAACATACCCCAAGACTCACCTTCTAGCAGCTGCCCCACAGGGTTTGCCTCCGGGCCGTTGGGAGCACGGATGTAAGGGGGGATGAGGTGGGGCACTCTCCTGGAACAGACAGGGGGAAGGGTGGGTGGGGGGCACCTTCCCCTGCCTTTCCCCCTCCCTGATCCGCTTGCCCTCCGCAGGCATGGCTGCCCCAGGCTCCCCAAGCACAGGACTCACACGGGCGCATCGTGGGTGCCCTGCAGCAGCGCCGCCAGCTGTTTCCGCACGGAGCTCTCCTGGTTCAGGTCCATGGTGTGCCTCTCGGAAGTGTACTCCACCTTCCCCCCCTTGCCAAGGTCCCTGGAAGATGCGTTGGGGCGGGAGAGCGGGGAAGCGAGGGACAGTGAGAAGCCCCGCCAGAACTGGAGGTCGGGAGGTGTGTGGGGCTGGGACGCAGAGGGAGAACCCCGAGGGGCGGGACGGACCCCAGCCCGGCTTGCAGGGTGCATCGCTTGTTGCCCGCTTCATTGGCGGGTCGGCCGCAGAAGAGGGCGAGCCAACGCCCGGCTGCTCTTGAGCTGCGGAAAGTCCCTCTGCAGGTGGAAGGATCTACAAGGGCAGCCCTCCCCTGGCAGAGTCCTGACCCGCCACCGACGTACCTCTGGAAGTTCCAGGTGAAGCGCAAGGTGATGTCGGCGGAGCTGTTCTGGAGCTCCTGGTGCAGCTGCTCCCGGCTGGGGGGGCTGATGCTCCACAGCGAGCCCGAGCTGCCCTCGATGCGCGCTGTGACGATGTCCTCGTAGCCGTAAAGGGTGATGAACTGCATGGCCAACTGGGGGGACGAGGAGAGCGGGGAGCAGCGTCAGCAGCCCCGCAACTGCCCCCCCCCAGCAGCCGTTCCAGCAGGCTGGACTGGGGCCTTCCCCAGCCCTGATGAAGGATGACTCCATTTTTCCTCTTCCCTCCCCTTCGCCTTTCCTTCTGTATCGTGTCTTTTCAAGGGACCGCCCTTGGCTGAGAGCGGGGAAGAACTGCTTTGAGGCAAGCCAAGAGCACAGAGCCACCGGAAGAGCATGAGCCTGGCGAGCGCCATATTCCCGGCTTGGCCAGAGTGACTTGGGCCAGTCACGCCCCCCCCACCCCCGCCTGCCCCTCGAGGTGGAGAAGTGGCCACACAAGCCGCCTCGGGCTCCTTGCAGGGGAAGAACGAGGGGACAGAAGTGGGCTGGGGACCAGCAGCCCCCGCGCGGACCGGGGATCCGGCGAGGGGCAGCGTCTGCGGCCACCTGCAGCTGCCAGGGGGCACGGCCCTCCCCACTCACTCACCGGCTGCCGCTCGAACTGGTGCGTCAGGGCATCGTAGTCCTGCGGGGTGAATGCCTTGATGGACTGCTGCTGGGCACTCATGGTGAACAGGGGCTGGAGAGGAGGCGGCCGCGATCAGGACCCTGCAACACCCGCCGCACACACGGCCCCCGGCTGGGGAGGGGGCTCGCCCACCCCCACGGGTCGAGACTCACACACGAGGCCTCCCGGCGCTGGCGAGGCAGACGGGACTTGGGAGCCCATCCCCAGGCTGGGAGGGCCGCTCTGCAGGGCACGGCAGAGGGCCGCCAAGTCCGCCGAGCGGTTTTTGACCGGGGGGCAAGCCCCCTCTCCGCACGTGGCGGCCGCTGACCAACCGTCAACGAGCGGCAAGGCAGCCCTCGCCTCCGCCAGGGGTCCCTGCGTCGGGCCGCGTCTTCAGCAGCCGGGCTTGCTGGAGGCGGCCCAGGAGCCCCCCCGGCCCCGCAGGCCCCTCCGCCCGGCCGGCCTCCCCACCTCGTAACCGCCCAGCTTGAGGGTGACGGTGACGTCGATGGGGTGGTTGACCACGCCGACCACGGAGCGGACGAGCGACATGAAGAGCAGCGGGAACCAGATGATGCAGATGAGGAAGAGGATGATGAGCCCCCCCATGCCGTACTTGACGATCTTCTTCTTCTTCTGCCCCTTGGGCTGTGGGTATTTCTGCGGGGGGCAGTGGCACCAGCAGGGGCGTTACGAGCCGCCTGGGGACAGCCGAGGGCGCGTCCCCCCCCCCACCTGCTTGGCCCCCACACTCAAGGCCGGCGGTCCAAGGGCCATGCGGGGCCACCAGGGATCCAACCGGACTCCGGGCTTTCCCAGAGGGCATGCCCCCCCTTCTGGGCCAGAAGCAGCTTGGTGGCTTCCCCATTTCTGTCCAGCTGCTCTCCATCCTCCTGCGGGGCAAACTGCCTCTTGCAAGACTCAGTCCTTGGCAGAAGGCTCTCGAGCTAGAAGATGCTCGCCTTCTTGCAACATGGCCCCAAAGAGCATCCCCGAAACGGAGCTCGGCCCGTGGAATTCTGCACCCCAAGAACCCAGAGATCCGGGCAATGCACGGCGACCCAGGAAGCGTCCTCCACCCGGCTGGGTTTGCTGAGACTGGGCCACGCCGGCCTCCCCTCCCCTCCCGGCCGCGCCAACCCACCTTCTCCGTCTCCCGGCTGCACTTGATGATGAAGATATTCGCGTAGATGTCCTCCACGCACATCCAGTTGGACAGCGAGAGGGTGGTGTCGGTCCACACCCAGTCCATGACGGCCCGCAGCTCCACCAAGAACGGCACCAGGCGGAACCTGCCCGGCGGGAGCGGCACACCTCAGTTCCACGGGGTGCGAGGAGACAGCGCCCACGTGGCCCCGGTGTGGTGTGCGGGTGTGCGCATGAAGGCTGGCAGTGGGAGGGCCGGGCGTGAGCCCCACGGGCCCCTCGTGGGCCCCCTCAGCCACCCCCACGCGGGTCGCCTTGCCGGCCTTACCCCTGGAACAGGAAGAGGTTGAGGTGGTTGTACTTCTTGGTGAGGAAGTTGCCCAGGATGCGCGTGGGATAGCCGCAGCGGATCTGGTAGGCCGACAGGGCGAAGTAGACGCACTTCACGAAGTACCACAGCTGGGCCACTGCATTCATGCTGAACATCCTGGGCGGGGGGAATCGCGGCAGGTGGGGCAGGGGCGTCGGGGCTGGAGCTCACCTGCCAACAGCAGGGCGGGGGGGCCGCGGCTTGGGGCGGGGAGCCCCTGCGTCGCACGCCCCGGGAGACCGCCCGCCTGAAACGCTGGGGAGCCCCCGCCGGTCCTGCTGGCCGGGCGGCCCCGGGTGGGGCAGCGCGCGAGACGAGGGACGGGGAGGCGGTACCTCTCGGTGACGGCGGGCAGGATGAAGAACATCCAGATGTGGATGCCGAAGACCAGCAGCACCTGGAAGACGAGCTTGCCCAGGACGCTCTTCCGCAGGTAGAGCGCTCGGTCGACCACCATGGTGGAGAACTGGATGAGCAGCATCACCAGGAAGGCCTGCGGGACCTGGTCATTCGAGAGCGACGAGGTGATGTCGGCCGCGGCAGAGTGTTTCTGGGAGGAAGACAAGCCGTGCTGGGGGGCCCGTCGGCAGCCACGCCGGGTGCCCCCCAGGCCCTCCAATGCTCGGCAACCTCCAGAGGGAAGCCCGGCACGGCCGTCTTTCGCTCCTTCGGTCTGGCAGGGAGATGGGCTTCTCAAGGCCCTCAGGCAGACCTGCCCCTGCGGCCCCTTCCCTCCTTTCGCCAGAGCCTTCCAAGCGTGGACTGGAAGCTCCTCGGGGCAGGGAAGCTGGCAGTCCACCACTGTGCGCACTGACCACGCGGGAGAAGCTGGCCTTCCGGCTGCTCTGGACCACGGCACCGAGCCTTCCCGGCCAGGTCGGCGGGGGCTGCCGGCAGCCGCAGCACAAAGCTTCTGCGCTTGCCTCCGGGAGCCCAGCCGGAGCAGGCCGGTCTCAGCAAGCCTGGTGAGGGGGCAGGCCACCTACCCCGAACGCCCAGAAGCCGAAGATGATGATGATGAAGTCCACCACGTCGGCCAGGAACATGAGGGCGTAGACATCCGTGGCTGCGCGGTACTTGCTGTGGAGGATGTCCCGGAAGAACTGCCGCGAGGGCTGGAGCGCACGCCCTGCTCTGGAGGAGGAGGCGGGGAGGGGCTGAGCTGCGGCTGGCCACCAAAGCCCCCTGCTCCGGGCGGGCCGGCTCTCTCTCGTTTATTTCTATACATAGTTTTTATCTGCCATCCCAATACTAAAAGACTGGATGGCTTACACAAAACAAAACAAAACACCCCAAATCAAAGCAACCATATACCACAACCAGCACACAACACATGGCATCTGGTGAAGATGGTAAAACCTATTAACTGTTAAAATACTGGGGAAATAAAAAGCATCTGAACTTCAAAAAGGGTCATGTGGCACCAGGGGGTGGGAAAGACCCCCCTTGGGCTGAAGGCCTGAAGGAAGGCAGACGGCAAGCCCCGGAGGAGCGCTCTTCTGGCGACACCGGGTTCCTGCCACTCGGGTTTCCGTAAAAATAAAACGAAATGACATGAACAAGCAGGAAAAAGGTGGGCGAATACGCTGACCTGGCTGGGAAGAGGCGGCTTCCCAGCCTCCCCTCCGCAACGCGACCCCAGCAGTGACCCTCCCGGGGCGCCGACCCCATGGCCCCTGCCGGCCCGGATCCTGCAGCCGGACTCACGCGGATTCCAAGACGAGCTTCGCCCGGCGTCCGGCAGCTTTCAGCTTCTCCTGCGCTGGGCTTGACTTCTTCTCTTCTTCCTGACATTCGCCTTGCTCTGCTGCAGCTAGAAAACGAGGAGACGGACGCTCCAGCTTCGAGGCCACGCAAAGGGAGCCATGGCAGGACCCGGCTCTGCGGTGCCCCTCCTTTGCTGGCACGAGCATCAAGCCCCACCGAGCCGGCGCTCAGTCCAGCCGCTCCCGCCCTCCGTCTCGTCACAGCCTTGCAGAACTGAGACCGGAGGAAAGAACCACAACACGCTCTGGGGTGGGACGCCAGCACTGCAGCTCCCCCTGCCCCCCAGACGGCCTGCTTCCTGCAGCCCCCCTTCCCCTTCCCAGCCTCCAATTTTCAGCAGGGTCTCCGTTTTTGTGCAGTTAAGCGAACTTCTCCATGCTAAGAAGCTGAGTCGCCTCACCTACCGCTGAAATCCCGGCAGTAAATGGGTTTGAGCTAGCATGAGCAGGGGGCCAGGCGGCCGCTAAAATTTGGCCCCGGGAGCTTTTCCAAGGGGGAATTCTCAGGTCCTGGGTTCTGCCCTCCTGGCCCAGCGGATCCCCGTTCGTCCACACGGCAGGCACAGAGAATGGCCTCCACACATTCCTTGGCCTCCCGTCTCCCCACGTACCATCCTCCTCTTCCTCTTTCGGAGCCTTGCTCCACTTCTTCTTCTTGTCCTTTCTCCTCCCGAAGCGTGAGCGGATCCCCTTCGGCACCTCCGGCTCCGCCTCCACCTCCAGGACCACCGCGGCCCCTGCTTCGGCATCGGCTTGAGCCAGAGACTCTGCCTTCCCGACGCTCTCCGCGGACGCGCTGGCTTCCGCCGCCTCGGGCTGCTTGGCCAGGACGTCTTCCTCATGGTCCCACAGGCCGTAGCTCTGGAGAGGACGGGCGGGCGGGCAGACTTCCCGTCAGGGGCGCAGAGCTACCGCGACAGCCCGTCCTTTACTCGACCAGGGAACAGCCCGCCTGGCCCCGCCGGCAGCGGCTCCCCGGGGACCCTTTCCTGCCCGTGGCGTCTCAGAGGCCACCAGGGGCTCCCCCTCCCGCCCGGGGCCAGGGCGCTCGCTCACCAGCAGGAGGGAGCGGTGGAAGAAGAGCGCCAGCAGCTGGACCAGGTCGTACTTGATGTAGCTGTCCGTCTTCTCCAGGCCCAGGATGCGCGGCGGGAAGAAGGGGCGGCCCTCGGAGCGCACCAGGGCGGTGTAGCTGTTCCAGGGGAAGAAGCCGAACTGGAAGAGGTACTTCAGCACCACCATCGCCTGCCCAGGGAGAGGAGGCGGCCGGTGGGTTTCCCGCTCTCCCTGTTGCGGGAAGCCAGCGGGGTCGTCCCGTGCAGCCGAGAGGTGGAAGGGGATGTGGGCCGGCAAGGAACGGCGGACACTGGCATGAAAGCTCCTCTCTTGGCTCTCCCGAGCCAGCCGCCCGCCACCTGACCGAGCTTCAGGCGGGGCCGGCGCCCCCTTCTCTTGTCCAGCGGCCTTTCCCGGCTCCCGTGCTGATTCTGCCCCGCTCTAACGGGTGCAAAAGCCTTCAGGGGCCAAACGAGGGTCTGTCCTGTTCCACACTCCCCCAGAAGGCATCCCTAGAGCTTCTCTGAAGTGGAATTGGGGCCTCGGGCTGAGGAAGTCCTACCAGCCCGGGCTACACGGACTGTCGCCCACCTGCTCCCCACTCAGGGTGCTGCCACCAGGGCACGGGGGTCTCCAGGGCACGGGGGGAAGCCCAGGAGAGCTCCCCACCCTACGGCTCAGGCACTTCCCTGCTGTCGGCGGTGTCCGTCCAACGCAAGCCACTCCGGCAGAGGGGAAGTGGCCGACCGAGAACGAGTCTCCCACGGCACGGGGAACGGCCGCCTGCGCCCCACGCCCTGGGCCCTGGGCGACGGCCCAGCCCTGCTGCAGGCCGTTCCCTCGTGTCGAGCGGGGCCGGGAAGGGCGGGCGCCCGCCCACCCACCTCCGTGTACACGATGGCCGTCATCCAGAAGCGCTTGCTGGGCCGCGGGATGGAGAGCATGGCCCAGAGGAAGACGAGGATGGGAAGCACCACCGAGATGACCGAGCCCGTCACCAGGTTGTTCAGGACGATGACGAAGTAGCACAGCAGGTCCGAGTGCGCGGCCACGAAGCGGTACCAGGCCAGCAGCAGCTTCGTGAAGCGGTTCTGCGAGCGGTAGAAGCTCTCCGACTCCTCCAGCTCCTCGAAGGAGACGCAGCTGGAGCGGGAGAGCGAGGGGGGATCAGGCCGAAGGGAGCCCGGGGAGCTGGTGCGCCACGGCGGCCCTGCCGGCCCAGGGACCCCCGGGCGCGCTGGACTCGGCTCCCTCCCGGCAGTCTCTGCCCTCCGCAACATGCGGCCGGCCTCCCCCTGCGCCGCCCTTGGCCAGGAGCCGCCCGACACCGAGTCAGACCCTTGGCTCCAGGCAGCGTCTGTGGCCGGCTTCCCAGCCCTCCCCGGGGACGCGGGGGCAGCCCCCAGGCCCATGACCCTTCCCCCGAAAACGGAGTGCTGCCTTCCATTTGGCACGGATCGGTTTTCATTTCTAAGGGCCTGTTCGGGACACCCGGTGCATTTTGAGCTGCTCTTTTCCTGCTTCCCCGGCCTTTCCTTGGAAGTGAAAAGCTGGGATATGAATGCATGTAATTAGTGAGTGAAGAAAATGCTCTCAGACCAGACGGAGAGCCAAGCCGGTTTTGCTGGCCCCATGCTCAGATCTCATTTCTACGAACGACTTGGCAAGCAACTTGCGATCCCCGCTCTCTGCTGAGCCCCAGCAAACGGAAAAGGTCACTCTACACCAGCCTTACAGAACCCTCAAATGTGGTGGAGGACGACTCCCAGCAAGGCTGGCTGGGGAAGCTGGACACTGTAGTCCAACACCTTGGAGAGCACCAAATTGAGGACTGGGTTAAGTGACTGATGGTAGAAAGTAAATCTTTCGGCGGGCAAAAGAAATCCTCGACATCGGGGCTTGGGAGACGGGGACGTGCAGGCCGCCCGCCAGCGGACACAGACCCCTCGGTGTGGACGCGCCTCACCCACGAGGACACGTGCCAAAGCGACCCGCCAGCCCGAGTACCTGATGGAGAGCAGCTCACTGGCCGTGCGGGGCCGGGCCTCGGGGTCCACCGCCAGCGGCTCCTGGGAGCCGCTGGGAGGGAGGCCCCCGTCCTCCGGGGAGCCCAGCGCAGGGATGCGCTCCTCGCTGGCGCTGGTGTTGTAGCCGGTGGTGTCGTTGCTGAGCACCTCCACTCTCTCGCACCCACTGGGGATGGCAAAGGGAAAGAGGAGGTCGCACCCCGCAAGCGGTTCCCGGAGTGACGTCCTCGTGGGGGCACCGGGCAGGGACAGGAGCAAAGAGCAGGCACACGGCGTCCCTCCCCCGCAGGAGAGCCGCCCCGAGAGGGGCTCATCCTCCCTGGAGCAGAGCCCCGGGCAGAAACCTGGAAGAGCCGCGCTCCAGCCCCACTCGAGGAGGATTCCCCAGCCAGATGCTTTCCTCGGTGCCACGGCCCCCAGGCCCCTCCCCGTGGTTCCCAGAGAAAGAACGGCGCTCTGCTTGGGCTCAGTGGCGCTCTTAGCTCTATGGCCACTCAGCCCACAGCCCAGCCCCCGGACCCAGGATCCAGCTGGTCAAGCCCAGCCTGGCTGACCTGGCAGCCAGGACCCCGCGTAGTCCACGGGGCCTGGCCCCACCTCCCCGCAGCCCCTATGCACCTGCCTGGAGGCTGCGCTGTCCGGAGACCCTGCTGCCGTGCCCGGCAAGGCCGTGTCGCTCGAGGAGCCGTCTGCCGCCGCCGGCTGGTACAGCCTGTCCA